TTGAATGAATTATTAAACACCACTTTCAAACGAAGAATTATCTTACTTCGTATGAATCGCCAAAAGTCTGAACTAGGCTAAGAAAGAAAACTGTGATCTTACTTCGTATGAATCGCCAAAAGTCTGAACTAGGCTAAGAAATATGGAAAACTGTGTTTCAAGGGGAAGGACGGAAACTCTGAATGTGACACACGCAAATGAATGTTTCAAATCGAGTTGAAAGTAGCTGGAGAATGGACGGGAACTTACCGTGGGGTTACTGGGGGAGACGCGTTGACCGTACCTAAAAGTTGCAATGAACAACTGCGGACTAGAGCCCCTATTTCCTAATTTTATTTAATGGACATCGCGAAACGGGCAGTACCGAGTCCATTGTTGTTGCCCTTGTGGAACGCCCGAGTATCGACTACTGACCTCTATAGATGCTAGCGTAGCTGGGACAGAAGCAAGTCACCAATGAAATTACAGCACACCTCTTCAGTAATTGTATGGTTACAGCCTTGGAAAATGCTTCGGCCTAGTATGGGTTTCCGGTTGTTTCTAAGATCATTTTGTAGGATTCTGTGATCCCTTGTTAATATTCCAGTCATTTGCGATAAGGAATCTTCCATGCTACGGAAGACTTTAGAGTGAGTGAAGAATCTGATTAGGATGCTTCGGAAAACGAATTGGAAACAAACAAGACGCCATTCTAATCACCAGACAACCAGACCTCGCACTTCCGATAAAAACCTGAGAAATTCAGAAAGAGATGTACAATATTTCCACTCAGAGATGGAAAACGTTTCAGAATTTCATGTGAATTTTTCCATTCACTCTGTAGTTCCCCAAAATGATCCCTAGGAGGTCAAAAGTTCCTTTTCGTCGTGATGGCCCCCGCTCGGACGATCAGAATAGAGGGCTCGGCCCAGAATGCTGTTAATTCGATTGTTTCGGCGTCACAAGTTCTCCAAAAATAACCTGTATGGTGAAAGGGTTTTCCCGAACTTCAAGCCAATCTGAACTAAGTAGACTCTTCTCCAAAACAAGGCTGAGTATTAAGAACCCAAGGATAACAATGATAAATATGCATCGCAACTCAGAAAACTCCACCACGTTCGTCAAATCCATTCCACTGTGAAGTGTCACAAACAAGATGGTAGAAGGTAGAGAGTGGTGGAGTTCTAAGAGGAAGCTCCTGTACTAGCTGTTGCGACTTGTCTAATGTCAGGTGCGCGGCCTGTGCTGCTGAAAGCTGAGTGGGATCAAGACTAAACCTCACGCCCTCAGACCAGCTAATCGAGGTGGCAGACATTTATTTACCCGAGCAGTTGTATAATTTGTATAATTCACCAGTCCTTCAACCACGGAACCCACATCAGGTGTTCACGTATTGGCTGGCTCCTCAAGTAGCGACTTATCAGATGAAAGCTTTTTCCTGTGAGCTACACATAGAATGATGATAAAATTTACGAATCTGTGACACATCACAGGACAAAACCTCAAATGAAAATTACCAAACCTCTTCACACTGTCATCAATCTATAAGTAGTTCAAAGAAAGATTAATTTCAGTCTGACAAAAATGAGTTACTGCGGAATAGTTTGTGAATTTTTCCATCCAAACAATGGGATGAGTAGGTAGAAGAAGCTAAGTGGGCACGAGAATTCCCCCCAACAGCCCGATTTCGACAGTATTCACATAACAGAGTGAAAAGATTCGAAAGATGTATAAGACCCACGAAATGCACGTAGGATACTGTGTGAAAAGATTCACTATGCACAAACAGAACTGAACGGCGAATATGCTCATCGTCCAAAAGGAGTATACAAGGAAGTCCATTCCGAAGGTGCAGTGGAATCTAATCTACCTTGAGAAACCCTATAACTAAGCGAAAATCATAAGAACTCACCTAGTAGTGGTAAAGTACAACTTGCGCACGCAACTTCTTGCAAAAAAGAAGTAACACGTAGGTGATGTGGAACTTGACTTTCTGGTTTCAACAGGAGTTTCTTCCCAGTATCATCCAGGTCGGTCGACAACGTGGAATCGTCCCCCGGAGAGGGTTGGCCGCCAGAAAGAATCTAAATCAATAAATGCCGGAGGAAGAAAACTGGTTTCAGCAACGAACTGACCAAGTACACCAAGCACAAACTTCCTAACCTGAAAACCAAAGTCAAACGTACAATACAACTATAGATGGAATGATTTATAAGACAAATATCTAGTGCCAAATTGACAGCACAATCACTGGGATCGGTAAGGTGCTCTGGCCTAAACCTGGTAAAAACCTCGCTACTTTCAAAATTCAAGTAATCAGTTTATTCTCGCAGTATGGCTAGTAAGACGAGCTACCAAGCGGTAAATGCTGTTGACGAATGGAAGATAGGTGTTCAGTCCCAAGACAACATCACCTAATGACGTCGCATCGTTAATGGAATTGAAAAATAGACGAAAGGAATGGTAAGAATTAACAGTAGTCTTTCAGTCACCCACGATCTACGTCGAACAAGTAGTCGATAAAACTCGTTCCAGTTTACGCATTTCAACAATCACGGTCGTCCAGCAATCATCAACCACAAAGATTGCCTTGCCTGAGAACGACGGGGAAGGTTATAGAGGAAGCGGTCTCCGATGGAGAGAACTCCTCAAGAATGACCCTTCATTACTTATGAAGAAAAATTTTTTCGTGAAGTCTGAGTCTGAGTATATTCCTGTGAAACATGGGTGGTTGGATACATTTAGCTTGCTCATAAAGTGGGTAAAAGCGATCTACATTCGTAGTGTGAATTGTACAATTTAAAAACTTGAAAAATGCGCGCTTCACAAAACATCCACACCAATGGGAATCAATCGATGAAAACACAGCGTGACACTGTGTTGCTTGAGGAACACACACCGTCTACTATGATGTGGTGGCGTAGACGCTGGCATCCAGTCGATCTGTGAATGAGAGTTTTAGCTCAACATTCCAACCATTTTCAAAGGTTGTGTGCAATTTCTAATTTTAGCACAGATTCAGGATATTTTTTCGCTTTGCACACGCTACATGCCCATGGTGAAGAAGTGTTCGAAAATTTCCGAGTTCTGCAGCAATTTTATCTCAGATGCACAATCTCATCACAGAGCCTTACGATGCAACCCCACGTTCCAGGATAATATATGTGATGTTATGCATAAGCGTTGAGTAACAGCAGAGGACCACTTGATATGCAATAAGTTTTTCCAAGTTTAGTTTAAATACGAATACGTGGTAGATTTCAACTGCGACTACCGTAAATTAGAATGATCAGTCCAGAATCAGACTGCAGGGGTAGAGATGTTGTATTGCTACCTGTGAATCAAAACAAGATTGAAAAGTTTGTTCCGGCCAAGCACGTTCACCCAGTACAATGAAGTCGTTGACATTGTCAGCGGAGTTAAAACAAGCTGGACGGTTGGAGCGGTAGGCCAAAAGATAACCTAGCCGCCTGTAGCTGAATGCTTCACCGTCTTTCGGAATGATGAAAACGAAAATATGGCGACGATGAGATGTGTTGTTCGGTCGGGCAATGTTGTGGCCGATACAGCGTTCTGAATGGGCTTTTTTGAGCGCCAAACACTAGACAGAAGGATTTGTACCTCCACTGTGTCTGACCTGGGTGCTCAGCAGATTGGACCAAGCAGACGTTGATTCAACCTGGATAACGGAGGATGGTGACCACATGCCTATGAGTATATAACAAATGACGCACAATTTCGGAGTTGACAGTCACTTGCTCTACGCGAACTCACAAGGTGTGTCACTGGCTGACGGGTAAAACCAGTCTAACTGGGCAGCCTCAACGGGCCAACTCAAAACAACATCGACACCCGCCTGACCGGTGACTTTGTCGGCGAAATCTCTAGAAAAAAAAGCAAATTGAACTGAGCCTTAAGGTAAGACGACAATAGCAGGCAAACAGTTGCACTGTAGCCATATACAAGTGTTTCTGAAGCAACATTCATCAGCTTTAAGCGTCACAAAACGCCATTCAAAGTTAATTTGTAGGTCTACATGCCTTAGAAATGGCAAAAACGAAAGAACAAAGAACAAAGAAGGCAGGCTTGATTGTGTGCTATGAGAAAGGCCATAGAGCTCCAAGAGCAAAGCGTTAATCGTATTTTGGAGTGGGTCCATGGTTAATTTTCTAAGAGCCAAAATGGAAGCTTAACTTGAGAGACCCCACTCGAAGAAAATGACCCGAAGAAAAACGGAGCGTAGCCACGAAAATGTAACACGGTGGGAGGCGATGACCACCACTACAGTCCTTCGAATAGTAACTCAGGGCGTCCATCCACCGCATATGTCGATGACGGTCAAACTGGTTAGATCCAGATTTGTGTCCGATCGTGGAACCAAGCACCTTTCGTGTCCCCTTCTAAAGACAATTCATTGATAGCCGCATCCTGCAGATGACGGCTACCGATCCTGCGATGATGCGGTCCAACTGGTGAAGCCTGTCCTAGTTCCTCTCGTAGGCGTAAACCTCTTAACTGGTAACTTTACTCGAACGTTTGTCATGGGAATGTCATTAGGCGTCTGATGGTCACCAGCCGACCACGCCAAAACTCATTTCGTCCTGGTAGCTCCATCGCTGTACGGCTGGGTACCTAAGACAAATGGATTTTTCACAGCTAACCTTACAAAAACGTCATTCTTCTATCAAGAATCTGGGGGGATGTCCGTAGACATCTAGTTGTGCCAATGAACCAGGGCACTGTATGTATTATGCCACGGTAGCATATCAAAAGCCGTATGTCCACCTCACCTCTTTACAGATATACATTGACCACGTGATCCGCCCTATTCAAGAGTGACAATGTGCTTGTTTCAAACTGATGGGTATCAGCTTGAATTTTCTTAGTAGATGTGCTTTACTTGAATCCATGGTTTTATGGACCCTCATATTATCAAATTCCCCGACATTTGTTCGTCCGTTAGCACCTGTAACGATACACAATTTTTGGTAGATTCTTTTGGATGGATTATTGGTACCCCGTTACACGATTCCCAGTCCAGCGCGGCCTACAGTTCAACGTGTTTTACCAGCAAAGACAGTGTTGCTCCAACCTCTCGAACAAAGCATACGACAAATGGGATTTACACAACAAGCAGTCCGGCATGTCAGGAAGGAAAGACAGTTCATTCTACCTTACAACGTTTTTAAGGACTAAAATGTCCTGCACAGCACAAAAACAGATAAGCAAAATCAAACTTGCAAAAATTGCCCGACGCAGTGCCTGTCTGGCAAACGGATCAGTCATCTGATCGAGGAGCGAGGGGTAGGGAGCCAGCTGGGCCGTTGATCTAGTTCCGAAGAAAAAGCACCACAAATCTGTTCAGACCGACAACCGAAAGCCAATGGACGATTTGGTTTTCGTTCCAGTTGACCAACGGCTATAGGTGAAAAAATCGAGAGGAACAGCAATCAAGTGTGATCTGTTCCGCTGAACGCAAAGCAAACACCAATAACAGACAAAAGCCGGCAAGAGGATTTATCATAGAATCGTGTGTGAGTGTAGATCAATAGTGCATTCGAAAAAGTGTTTACCTGCTGCAACGTGGAGATTGCTACTCCTGGTAGAAAGCGGCCATCATTTATAACCACGGACTGGGTGGAACTGGAGGTTGATTCCGCTGATTTCTGGATTCCGACACTCGATTTCCCCGAACAGCGACTAATCGGGAGCATTTGGCGTGGAAGATGGAGTTGCAACACATGCACTGACGAGCCGAGCAGAGCGGCGTGATGACATAATCGTTGCAGAGCGAACAAATTATCGGACAGCTGACAGAGACACGGGTAAAACGATGCGGTCTGGATGGTTGGGGAGAAGCCACACGGAATGCAAAGAGACAAAAAGGCAGGTGGCCATACAGACAGTACCAAGGGTAAGAATAAAGATAGGTTATTTTATGCCACATCGACAAACTGGTCAGATTCAAAGAACGGGTAGCAGCCTATCTAGCAAAAGACGAGCTGGAGGCCTAAGTCTGGCAAACAAACCTAAATAAAATACCGTGATTGTTTGAAAATGAAACATCGCTATTCAGATTTGCTAGATGTTGACAGGACAGCTGCACCGTATAGATTCGGTCCAAAAGCAGTCAACCGGTTTGTCTCACTTCAGACTGATGCAACTGATAACCAAATCAGATGAACAGTAGAACGCGGACTATACCCAGTCAAAAGACCCTTTTGAACAGCTCATGCCGTCAACATTCCAAAGCGTCGTCCAACCGGCGCACAAAACAAACAGGAAACGTCACTTTGGGAGAGCTAATTCTGCGGTATTGAATTCTTTCGATTTCGACCATTCGACGCCAAGGAAACTACCAAACCTTTTCCGAAGAGGAAACACCATAAGGGCACTTTCCGGTTGATCTGGATTTAGGATAATCGAAAACTCCCAAGTACATAAGCCTACGACACCGGCAAAATGTGATACTATGTGAAGCTAGCGCAGTCAAAAATTAGGCTAAAATGAACGATAACCCGGTATTTATCAACTTCTCAGTTAGAACAACTTAAATTAAAACGCATCATGTTATACTCATCTGCAGTTCTTATTCGATTTCGGCAACGCACCTCAACTAAGCTAATACTGGTAACCAACGTTAAGATTCACCATGGGTCAGTAGAGGTTCATTACACTTAAGATGGAAATGTGATACTATGTGAAGCTAGCGCAGTCAAAAATTAGGCTAAAATGAACGATAACCCGGTATTTATCAACTTCTCAGTTAGAACAACTTAAATTAAAACGCATCATGTTATACTCATCTGCAGTTCTTATTCGATTTCGGCAACGCACCTACAACTAAGCTATACTGGTAACCAACGTTAAGATTCACCATGGGTCAGTAGAGGTTCATTACACTTAAGATGGAAACTGGGATATTCAGTTCGTGAATACATTTGTGATCAAAGCTGGTAACGTCATCCGTAAAAAAAACTGAAATTTAGTTGAGCAACTTCAGTAGAACAAAAGATCCCTACTTGGAAGACATCTTCGTGCCTCTCGAAAATGTTCCCATAAGAGGAGTTATTTTCTCACCTACGCACATTACGGGACGCAGGAAGGCAACCAGCTCTTCATTCAGAGAGCAGAAACGCAATTCCCAGTATTACTATTGAGTCACACATATTGAATAAGTGGCAACTTACGTGACACACATACCAAAAGTAAGAACATCAGTCTAGACGTAATTCACTACTTATCAGGTTGCTGAAAAATCTTTGACACACCTTTTTCGCCATTCCTGGGGCTTATCAGGTAGGCCCAGTTTCCGTCTCAACCTCATGTTCTACTGGAAACCAAATTGCACGGAATTAACGAACCACATCCATTCGCATACCAATTTTGTTTTGACAAGAGACTCACCTGGAACCCAGCTGAATCTCTTGCTTAAAGTTTGCAGCAACTTATAGTAGTGGTACAAAACAACGATGCTTATTGTCATTGTTTTTCGTGAGATTGGTTTACTCACTCTCCGATTAAATGCTCCTTTTAGGCAAAGACGCAGACTAGTTTTCAATCAAAACATGCGTTTCATTATGTTAAACCCATCAGAATCTGATTCAAACATTGGGAGGCAAGTATCCAATCAGTTCCGGTTCTCGGCAATGTTTTCATCTATCTGTATTAAGGGAAGCCATTTGCTGTCAACGCTAAATATCGATTCGGAATCTTCATGAGCTAAGTGACTGTATAATGTACGGTACACGACAATATCTGACAGTTTGAAAACCCATACGACCGGTGTTAACCTTCGCCAGATTATGAGGCCAGTGACAACGCTCCTCTGCTACTGCAAGGTCACTTATGAAAAGGGTTGAAGTTTGAGGTGGAAACCTGTTCAATGTGCTTTCCCTCAACCCCATTGCTAATCATCAGTTACAACGGCCGAAACTCCCCTTAATTTTTTAGATATACTTGTGGCAACACTGTTGTATCTGGAAATCCAATTCTGGCGAAAAAAGCCCTGGAATGACCAGGTTAGTTTTCTTAGTCGAGCACCCAAAATATGTTCAGTCAGCTACCACAATTTGACTCACACACTGTTCCGACTCGATGAGGAGAGCTACCAGCTGTTTCTACGTAGGCAGTGCTAGATGCCACAGAATTTTTGCTGGAAGCTTCCGGAGAGAGGATTTTATGTGGCTGTGTGGACCTTCCGTGGCGCTGTACACGTGGAGGCAGCGAAGGTGGCTGCTCCGCACCGATGGCTAATGAACTTTTGAAATCAGGGTCACCCGAATGGCCGGCAACGGGATCCGAGTCAGACGTAAAGCCAGAACTGACTCACTACCAGAATAGGACCACACCATTCGTAGGGTTCACAACAAACATGTTGCGCTGAAAATATAAATGAAGCGTATAGTGCAACTTAGACGGAAATGTTAGCATGTCGAACATTTCTGGGAGAGTCGACATCGGTTAGAACTATGAAACACGTTGACGTGCTCATGTCATTCCACACACTGCATGGATGTTAAATGGTGCAGCACATGGGAAGGTTGATGGGCGGCCAAATCAGGAAATACAACTTTACAGAAAAGCAACGAAAAAAGAGAGAAACGGGAACCCATAAAGGCTAGAGAGCCAATCAAGCGAAAAAGAAATCTTTTTACGTCACTGGTTTGATACAAATATGAAATTCGTTTGTTCGTATGTGCCTAAGCATGCGATTCCTGCAATTGATGAGTTCCATTATCAACAAACCAGTACATTTTCGGTACAGAGTAATCCGAGTAGTCGCACTAAGGGATGGTATAAAGGTAAGATCGCACCGTCTTCTACGATGAAAGTGCAAGGGCGGTAAGCCGTTTCCCCCATATGACTATCATGCTAATTTTTATGGACCCAGCTATGCTGCCTTCTCTGAGGAAGGACGGGTTAGAAAAATCTCGGACCTAGCCCAGCGGTTGGCCGTGACCATCGGCGTATTACTAAACACGTCGGAAGACTTTTAAAATGAAAGAGTCCGATGCTGCTCAAAAGGAACATGCTGGGTGCAGCCGCATTAGGAGTGAAACATTAATGCGTCACTTCCTGCGTCCTCTGGCCAGGCCGGTCCCTTGCGATCAAGTGAGTCATACTATTGGTCATTGGTTCCGCGAAGGGTCCCCCAACAAAGGCCTAACAACCGAAGCCTCGCGGGTCAGACTTTTGAGTTAGAGTCTACGGGTAGGGTCCCAGAACAAAATCCGATATTCTTTTGCAAATCAATTTGGTCTTCACGAGAGACTCAAGTGAATCTCTCGTTTATGATGTTCTCCAGCTGAATGTGCTGCACACAGGCCGCCTCATCATTCAGTTCGCACGATATTCCAGATATCGCAGTATATTTTCATAAAGGAAACTACTCACAGGTTTGCTGAAACTTCTTCGATAGCCCACGACCTGATGAGCCCCAAGACGGGCGAAATCGGGCGTAGATCGCATCGCTGCTCCTGCAACTAACGACTGTGGTGGCGCACGGCGGTCCCCCAAACATCGTATAATCAAGAGCCTGAAGAATAACAGTGAACGCTGGTGGACAACGAAGGCCCAGGAACTGGAGGACGCTTTAGCTACAGGCAACAACCGCGCTCCGTTTCAACTGATTCGATCAACCGGTCAAAAGAATGTAGGTTTCAGTGATACAATATGCGAAAAAAACGGAACGGAAATTGACTCCCTCAATCATCGTCTTCAATGGTGGGCAGGGCACTCACAAAAACCAAGTCAGCTGGGCACCTTCAACAGAAGCCCTCGAAGAACCCGGCAAGCCTGAATGGAA